TTGGACATCCTCGGTTCTAACTTTCAAGTGAGAATCATAGCCTTGGCTCTCTGCTTCTTCTGGTTTAATGCTATTTTGAGCCCTTTTTGGGGGATTCTACTGTTTTCTGTTTGAATGAAAAAAATTTAAAATAAAAAATAAAATTTAGATAACTATTTTGTTTTCCATTTATTTATTTATTTTTACCTATTTTTTTATTAGTAAACTAAATAAAATTATTTTTATTAAACTATGCCTAAATCTATTTATTTATTTATTGATGTTATTGATATTTATTTACTTCATTATGGCTAATTAAATAGTCATTACTCATTAAAGAAAATCAGGCTTTGGTTACTTAATTGCAAGTAAATGGGTAATTATTTATTTTTGGTTTGTCTTAATAATGGTTTAAATAATTAGTAATTATTAATTAGTTTGTCCCTAATCAATCATTCAGCTATAAATGTTTTTAAGTCGTTTTAAATTAATAATAAAAATACACAAATATTCAGTATTTATTTATTTATTTATTTATTTGAAGTCTTTTTGGGCTTTTGGTTATCCAATTTTTTGGTTAGATTTTGAGAACATTTTAAAATTAGATAACCAAATAAATAAATTGATGGGTAAAAATGGTATTTGAAAGTTAATTTTCAAAAACTGAAAATTCGAAATATGTTAGCTATCAATCAATTTAAAAACTTATTATTATTCTTATTTTTTAAATTTGAATATTATTTTAAATATGAGACCCGAGATAAATAAATTATGAAAAAATAAATCTAATTTTTTTTTTATATAAAAAAAATCATATATTTATCAAGAAAACGTAAATGGTGAGTAAATGAGAAAATTACTACCGTTGGCTAATTTATCACAAATAATGGTGTATCATTGAGATAATTGATGAGCCAATTACTAATTATTAGTTAATTCGTCCCTAATAAACCATATCCATTTAAGACTTTTATCCCTAAAATTGTTGCAATTTTTACATTCAATTTTTTTTAGTTAATTTTAACCGATAGATATTCATAAACCCATTAATTTTAATAAGCAATCATCGTACATATTAGTTGTGAGATCTTATATCGGTTGGAGAGGAGACGAATTTTTTTTATAAGGGTGCAAAAACCTCTCCCTAATAGACACGTTTTAAAGTCGTAAGGTTGACAACGACATATAACAAACAAAAGTAGATAATATCTATTTGCGATGAACTTGAGCTACTACAAATTGTATCAGAACCAAACACGAGACGGTGTGCCAGTGAAGATGCTGAGATTTTCAAGAGGCTTACTTATAAGATCTCACATCAGTTGGAAAGAGAGAACATGACTACCTTAGTTATATATTCTTTTTAGATATATTAAATATAAAATTGAAAGTTAAAATATACTTATTAAATAAAATTTCCCCCATAAACCACCTAGCTCATCATAATTCCAAAGTGACCCCATAAGTCTCGTAAAATTGCACAACAGCCCCACGAGGGGAATGAGAATTATAAATCTAGGTGGACCCCATGTTTGGGGAAAGATATCCACGTTTGCGATGACCTGTCCATCTTCAACAATTGTGGTGACCAAATACTTCGTTGAAAGCTCGTGTATCACACGGACGAATCATCATTCGCCACATACCCGCTTCCCTTGACACCACGCGCTCATTTCCCCCAGGGCGTTTATTGCAGCTTCGCCTATAACTGAAAGCAAAGAAAGCATTTCCACTGCCAGTTTCAGTCTCACAAATCCCATTCGTTTCCCTCCCTTTTTTCCTGCAGATTCTTGAGCAAAATCCAAATGTGCCCATCTGAGGTATTCTTCTTCACGTTGATTTTCTGTTTGGTTGCTGAGAAAATCTCCGCTAATTTTCCTTCCTTTTCTTTCATTCATACTGTCGAAACTAAGCAATGTGGCTGTTCTTGAGTAATCGTGAGTTTCGAGATATTGATACTTTTGTCTGTTTATTAATATTTTTTTTTTTTTTTTTTTT